TAAAAAATGTATGCTGATATGACAGCTGTCAAAATACAACCTAACAAAATTGTTTCACATGAAGTTAAAGAAAACTAAGCACTACTAGAGCCATCCATCATACAGAAAAAACTAAACTTTTTGGCCAAGCCAATATAAACCACATTGCTTCAATGTCCTGCTTTGTTACTGGTAGGGTCCATCACATGGAGTTTGCACAAGTTAAATCCACTGACTGTTATACACACTGTTATACACATGCAGACATACGCTCCACGCACACCCTTAACAAAGATGCAGCTCAAGTGACAGGGACTCCTATTGTGCGCAAAAACCCACAGCAACAGCCCACACATGACATCTTCCCATTCTACCAAACCCATACAGCCAACCAGATTAAGTACCGATTTTGGAGTCAGACGAACCGATTCAAACTCTAGCCTAGCCTCCTGTTTGTTATTTCTCTTGTCAGTTTCCTCCTCTACAAAATGGGGTTAGCAATGAGTAGAAGCCCATGAAGATTGAATGAGATGATCATGCGGTAATAAAATTGTGAGCACAGCCTTACTCGGCAGATGTTGGCTAGTGTTGACTGCTTATTCCTCCATCTTCCTATCTGCCCCGACCCCCAAACAGCAAAGGAGACAGAGGCATCACACAGTCACACTTGCCAGTTAACTCTCCCAGGGCAGTCGGCAAGGTTGAAAGCAGTGAGGTATTCTAATTGCTGCCATTTGCACTGTGTAATCTGTGGGTGGACCTGAGGTGGGGGTGGTTCTACAAATCTTCTCCCTGCCACCGGCCAGATATCCCAGTGGAGGCAAATTAATCCCTTGAAATGTGAATGCAGATATACTGGTATCTTTTCATATAATCTGGGCTCTCAGGACTCTAGTGGCTAAAAGGAAAGATAGTCTTCTACCCTATTCCTCTGTCATTCTCTTAGTTGAGGCCCCAGCTCCCCAGTGCTGGCCTACTGCAAGCCTTCAGCAACCCGCCACCCATAATGGCCTCTCAGCTTCTCGCTCCAGTCCACTCTCATTTATGCCACTGATACTTACTGCGTGTCTAGCACAGACCAGGCACTGAGTTTGCATAACAGGCATGGCATCTCATTGAAGGAGCTTCTCGGATAACTTTTTTGAACACAGATCTGACCATGTAGCTCCTGTGTTTACCAACCTTCACAGTTTCCTCATCGCCCCAAGCAGAGATCCCCAACTCGAGACTCTGATTCAGAATGGCCTTGGTAGTGGCTGGACATGGACATTTTGAGTAAACCGCATGGGTAACTCTGATGTTTCCTCTTGATTGAGAAACCCTAAATAAGCTCTTAAATTTCTTGCTATGATACATAATACTTTCTGCAATATGACCCCAGCCTTCCCAGCCATACCAAATCAATTTGGCCTCTGCCAAAATTTCACCTTCACTGCTCACCACACTCCAGCCATACTACCCACACGGCTGTTCGCTGAACATACCAAGCTCAATCTTCCAAATTTACATACTGTTATGCATAGTGATTGGAAAGGGCTTCCACCATCTTCACAAAGCATTTGCACACAGTAGGCTCCTTCCCCTTCCTCAGAGACCTTCCCTCACCTTTCCACTCAGCTCCACACATAACTCCAATCACTGGCCTCTTACAGGCTTTACTTCCTATCTTCCGAGCACTGATCACTCTCTGAAATGGTTGCCTATTCCTGTACTTGTTTATTCATTCCCACTTTCATTTGTCTTTTCCACTAGAATTTAAGCCCTACATGGACAAAGTTGATCTTACTTGCCACTATGTCCTCAGTGCCTAGAATAGTGCATAGTATGTGGCAGGTGCCCAAATCAAGTTTTAGTTGGCTATTAGGAAAATGACTCAAACTACTTTAATTAAGGGGCGAGGGAAGGGGCAGAAACCACTGAAAGTGCTCTAGAAGAAGCATCCACCTGGACCTCACGGGAAAGTGGAACTCAGAATCGGCTGGAGCCAAGGTATTTCTCCCTGCTCCTAGGCCACGGTCTCTCCAGTCTGCTTTCCCTCGGCTGCTGCTCCATCCTCCTTCCCCCGTCCTGTTACTCATGTCACATGTGACTGAACACACGGACTGGCCCCACTGGCTCCTCATATCCAAGAGTCTCCCTGAGTTGAAACCGAGAATCTTGCCACTGCTTAGCTTTGGGCCAACTGTCTACCTCTGACCCAGCTAGTCGTGGTCTTGGGGGTGGAGAGGGAAGCACAGTGGAGGAGTGTGCAGAGCACTGCCTCGTCTGGTGACAACCAGCCCTGCCTGGCCCACGTCATGCCACTTCTCCCACATGTACCTCGCTCTTTCATACTCCTCTCTCTCACTTCTGCTGCCTGAAGTTTGCTTCCCCCACATCAGCCTTATTTTAAGTGTACAATTCAGTGACATTTAGCACATTCACAGTCCTGTAACCATCACCACTAATTCCAGAACATTTTTATCTCCCTCAAAAGAACCCCACATCCATTAGCGGTCACTCCCTCTTCCCACCCCTACCCCAGGCAACCACTAACATTTTCAGTTCTCTAAGGTATACATCTAGAATCGGGTATTGGATATACTGGGATTCTGGGTCATCTGACAATCTACATTTAACTTTTTGAGAAACAGCTTTCAAAAGCAGCTCCACCCCTCTGACATGGCCATCAGCAATGTGTAACGATTCCAATTTCCCCACACCCTTGCCAAGACATGTTATCGTCCATCTTTTTTATTATAGCCAGCTCATGCATCAACCTTTTCTACCTCTATTAAGAATGGGAGAGAAATGTCAATGTGTGGTTGCCCCTCACATGTCCCCAACTGAGGACCTGGCCCACAACCCAAGCATGTGCCCTGACTGGGAATTGAACCAATGACCCTTTGGTTCATAAGCCCACACTCAATCCACTGAGCTATACCAGCCAGAACCCATTCATTCAATATTTATGGAGCATTTAGTACATGTCAAGCACCATTCTTGATGAAAACACAGTGAACAACGAAAAATCTGTGCCCCTTATTCTGGTGGGGAGAGACAATAAAGTCTGTGAGAAAGACAAGTACCATTTGATTTAACTTATATGTGGAATCTAATGAACAAAATAGAAACAGACTTGCAGAGAATAGACTGACAACTGTCAGAGGGGAGGGGTCATGTGGGCCTGGGTGAAGAGGTGAAAGGATTAAGCAAAGAAAAAAAACTCATAGACTCAGACAAGAGGTGATTGATTACCAGAGGGAAAGGGGACTGGGAGGAGGTAGAAGAGGGCAAAGGGGGGATAAATGGTGATGGAAGGAGACTTGACTTGGGGTGGGGAACACACAATACAATATCCAGGTGATGTATCACAGAATTGTACACCTGAAACCTGTAAAGAGGGTGTTCGTGGAAAACCTTGAAGTTGACTTTGAACTATGAGACATCCGTGAGAGATGTCGAGTAGGCACTGGATAATGGGTCTGGGGTCAAGAACAGAGTCCGAGCAGATGGAGCAAAAGTGGAGGAGCTAACAAGGAACCAGAAACTCAAACTGAGGTGTGGATGCTTAACTAGGCAAAAACTCGAGTGTGGTATCCTGGGAGGCAAAAATCTGCATTAGTTTTCTACTGCCGGTGCAGTAAGTTAACACAACTCTGTTGTTAGTGGCTGAAAACAAGACTTATTATCCGAGTCCCACATGGGACGAAAATCAAAGTGTTGGCAGGCTGAATTCCTTTTTGGAGGCTCTGGGAGAGAATGTTTCCTTTATTTTTCCAGGTTCTAGAGGCCCCCTTCTCCTGTCTTCCAAAGTCAGCAACACGGCATCTATCAACCAGTCTTCCCCAGTCACATCTCCTGACCTCAGGCAGGCAAGATGCTCTTCTTTTAAGGACCCATGCAATTAGATCAGGCCCGCCCACACAACCCAGGATAATCTCTCCACCTCAAGATCTGCAGCATGGTGATGGTCGCAAAGTCCCTTTTGCCATGTAAGAGACACACGTATTTACAGGTTCCAGGGATTAGAAATGTGAACATTTTTGTAACTAGAGGAGACACAGTATATAAGCACAGATGTAGATAGGTAAATAGATGTGATAGTAGGAGCCTCATGGAAATTTTGTTTAAAAGAAAAAAGGTCATAAACAGAGTGAGGATGGGAAAAGTGTTCAAATGTAGTGCTTTCAAGGAGAGTGAATGAGTATATGGAATAGAGAAACGTAGTTGGATTGTCAAGCGGTGCAAAGGTCTACTTTAAACAGAGGCCACCACTTCAGGGGCAGAGCCATCAGGTTCAGTTGCTCAAGTGCCTAAGAGCAGAGAAGGTGACATATTGAACTCAACCAAATGGAGTTGAGCCAGGCAAGTCCATACAATGAAGCAAGAGATGGGGAGAGGCAATTTCACTGCGTAGCCACGAGTGACTAACCATGGGACACTGAACCGAAGCTGGATGATGGACATGAAGTGAAAAATTAAAGACAAGTGAGCGGATCAATGAATTATGTCACATAGTACTGGAATCACTCTCTGCTCATGTCCACATAGGCAACTCTTCTTCTAGACTGAGGTCCTCCAAAGTGGGATCAGGGTCTTATCTTTTCATTCTTGTTACTTGAGCACGTTAAGTTTGTTATCTGAATGGGTGGCTGAAATGCTTACCCATGGTTTAAAGGAAATTCCCCACCTCCACTCCTATGATACATAGAGTTCCTCCTTCCACAGTTCATGTAAAAACTTGCAATGCTTCGTCAAGACCTATGGTGTAAACAAGTCCTTTGGAATGAGACAAGATGCTGAATTCCTGCAGTGTTGTGCCCAAGAACTGAACTAGAAAATGCAGCAAATGTACCCCAGTAAGTTTGCCCTTCCTGAACACACCTGGATGGCATGAAACCTACAAACTTCCCAACCTCTAATTATTTCACCTCCTTGCAGTAATTAGTAGGACCCAAATCAGGCCTTGAGAATACCAAGTTTTCTAAGGAGACAAATGAAACCCAGCATGGGGTAAAGAACACACACACACACAAAGAGCATGTAAAATATGTTTATTGTTCTTTAAAAGGGTTCAGGGTTTGGTTTCCAATCAGGCTGCACATCTTTCATCAGTCTGACATCTCCCCCCATGTCAAACTGGCTTCAGCTAGCAATACTTCATTAAATCCAAAAGATAAAAAAAAACCTTAATTTTGAGGAAGAAAATCCAGTTCTGAGAACAATTAACATTAGTCTGCAATTTAAAACAAAATGAGGGCTAATGTTTCATGTTGCTTTATACACCCTTCTCCTCACACAGAACCAGGAATGTAATTTTCCTAACTCAGGCAGGCACTGATACTGGTGGACACTGCACACACACGCACACACACAACTGTTTCTCTCTCTCTCTCTGTCTCTCCCTCCCCGCAGACAACAAAAATCAGAGCATGTCAAAGGAAAAAGGTTTGTTATGGTATTGATCAAAACCCTTGGAGTCAACAGACAATCTATCTGAGCTTTGAGAATATTCTGTTTTGATCTTGAGCCTATATGTTCTAAAATACAGGATTTTGGATAGTACCATCATTTTCCACTTTAAAACCCTAGAAACAATTTCAAAAAGCATTATTTTGTTTTGTTTTCTGGGATGGGGGAGGAGAGCATCTACAGATTTTTCATTTAGTTTAAGAGCAAAACAACCCTGGCATCAGAGATAGGCAGTTCACATAGCCAGCCAATGTCTGAGGTATCGTCACGACAAGGCCCCAGTCCATTCCTACTGGTCTAGCTGATTCTAACAAAATGGGAAGTTTATGGCTCTGCATATCAAATTCCAGCAAGACAAGATGACCCTAAGCCTTTATTCCAATCCTTAGAAGCAGAGCACTAGGAAGTGTGTAATATTTAAATGAAGAGTGCAGAAGCCCCTTAAGGTGTCTTTCAACTTGCTTTGTTGATACAGCCTGGTCAAAACTGCCTTCTACAAAATAGCAAAAAAACAGTTTTTCTAGATCAGCACATTGAACCCAACAAAGAATCAGCAAAAATGACACTACACCAAATACCACTAGCAACATAGTCCTTTTGCTACTGGTTGCGCTGCTCTATGTCTCTCTCCTACCCTGTTAGGCCTGTGGACACGTACTCACTAGGCATTGTTGGTTTTATCTCATAAAGAACCTAGTAAGAAAATAACAAGGCAATCAGTGGTTAAACTGAACTGTACATATGGGGGCAGTTTGGAAAATACCCATGCAGGCATTTCTCAAGTCCAAGACATTATATCTTTGCTGCTACTCCTCTGACTGTTCCTGAAAATTCAGAGTACAAATAAATCCTAAAATAAAAATTTCCAACTACCAGCATTCTCTGACATCATTAGACAGAAAATCAGCGAGTACTGCTACACACAGCCCACAACTCTACAAGGTGTAGAATGTGTGCTAACTCTCTCCCTGGACACATCTTTAGTGATGGACTGGAGTACTCCCCTTCAGAAAACAAACTTTCTGGGATACCCACTTAGCTTCATTGGTTGGAAAAGCGAAGAATTGACTTACAGCTAAGCTCTTTAAGAGACTCCTCCTGAAATGCCATTTCCCCACTAACTTACCAAAACAAAACCACAAACAAAAGGCTCTTGGCTACTTTGCCTAATGTTGTATAGAGTTTTCAAGAAAAGAAACTAACATGAACACCCCATCATCAGTAAAGACTAAAAACCACCTGGATCATATAATAGATATGCCACTGCTTTTTTTTTTTTTGGTGTTTTTTTTTTTTTTTTCTAAAAGTGCCCAGGTGGGCTTAAGGCTGCCAGACTGCACGCACATCTACAGCAACAAGGGCTTCTCCTATTCCATCTACAGCTTGTATCGGGGAAAAGGAGAGGAATAAGGAAAGGAGAGAAGAGAGGAATATTGTAGCCCCCACCCCCTACCCTCAAATCAAGAAAAAAGAAAGAAATCACACAACATGGAGATCTATGTGCCAAGCATAATGGAAGAGTGAGCTCCCCAAACAGATGACTCTGCACAGGCTACTTACTGTCCTGCTGGTTTCCCTTAGAGGCCTATTTTGAAAAAGTTAAAAAAGACAAGAGATTTTGAAATAATTCAGTCCTGGCAGAAATTCAAACTTCAATACTAAGAGCAAAATCATTCTCCACTGAATTAATCCCTTTTTTCTTTCTCTTTTTCTTTTCTTAAACATTTTTTATTCATGTTAATAGAGGGATTTCTTTTTTGTTTGCTTTTTTCCAATCATTAGAAGAGTGGCTGAGGAGTACTGAATCCATCACTACTTTGATGACACAGTCAAGATTCCAGATTCACATTTCCAGGTACAAAGAGTTCCCTCTAAATGCCACAATCACGTCAGCCTTTGTATTTCTTTCTACTGAACACAGCAATGCCCGTTGGTATCTCTGAAGCGTAATCGCATCTTAGGTCGGTATTTCTCCAGGTAAAGCAGCTGTTTGGAATTGAATGCTCCCCTTCTTTTCCTGCAAAATACAAGAATGGCAAACTTTATCATACAAGAAGAAAGGAGCTACCTAAGTCACTGAAATGCATTATTTATGGCCTTTGGCCTTTCCAATACCACAAAGCTGAAAGTCAACATACTTCCCATACAAAATCACTTAGGTTGAAATAGGCACTTTCTGTGCCTTCTGAGAAGGAACAGACCAGTTTTCTTTGCTGGCTCTTTTTAACCTATTAAACATTTAAGAAAAATCAGAATGATTTATCCAGAGACATCTGACTATACTCTTCCCAATTAGATTAAAAATATTCTTCAGATTAGAATCAGTAGCAAGTATTTAGGATGCATGAGAGAGTATTTATATGAAGCAGCAGGCACAGATGGCATTCCTTAAAATATGTTTCCTTCCTAGAGCTGCTACAATTCATTCCATGCCCTGTCACAAACAGTCTTTTTCTTTTCCTCCTCTTTTTTAAAGAAAAAAGAGAAAGGCTAAGAAAATAACTGCCAAAGAATTCCGAACAGCAAAACAGCATGGCCCATTATTCCAGACTGACACCAAGACCCTGTCTGGGCACCACCATCCGGACTCTGCACCTGAACTTATGAGTCCTTGGTGATACACGGCACCTCTATAGATTCTGGCTTGCCTCTTGATTATAGACAGGGCATTTTGAAAGTACTTTATTTTTTAATTATATTTTATTGATTGTTATTACAGCTGTCCCATTTTTTCCTTCCCTTTATTCCCCTCCGCCCTGCACCCCCTCCCTCCAGCAATCCCCCCTCTTAGTTCATGTCCATGGGTGGTATATATAAGTTCTTTGGCTTCTCCATTTCCCATAGTATTCTTAACCTCCCCCTGTCTATTTTGTGCCTACCAGCTATGCTTGAAAGTACTTTAAACATCCATTAAAAGAGACACAAGATTACTGAGACTCTTCTACCTAGCTATTCACTTTAAAGATTCCTAGATATTCAAGTCATATACTGGACATATTCTACAATGTCCACACTTGCCACCTAAATTAGGAAATCTTTAAATCTGGGAGCTAGGAGTCTTGAGTATCTTTATCACTTTCTCTTTCTGATATCCTCAAACAAACAATATTTTAAGCCGAAGACAACAAATTATTCCAGACTACAAATGAATACTTTTCCACAATTCATTCTTCTTGTATGATCTTGCTCTATGTGTTTCTGAACATAAAACTTCATACTCACTGTCTTATAAACTGAACTGCATCTTCATACTTCATTCCACATTCAATCAAAGCAAGTGCAACCAGCACAGGTGCCCTGCAGAGAGAAACTCATCTGTAAATATCCACGCATCCTTGGAATTAAAGAATTTTTTTAAAACCCAGATTATATACTCTGGCTGATATGGCCCAGTGGATTGAGTGCTGGCCTGTGAACCAAGGGGCTACCAGTTCAGTTCCCCCCATCGGGGCACAGGCCTGGGTTACAGGCCAGGTCCCTGGTGGGGGGGCATGTGAGAGGCAACTACACATTGATATTTCTCTCCCTTTCTCCCTTCCTTCTCCTCTCTCTAAAACAATAAAAAATTTTTAAAAATAAAACCCAGATTACGTTACCAAAATTATCTGATTTCTGTTACAAATCAACTTTAATATCATTTCCATATCAAATACTAAAACTACGCTAATCCTTTTCATAGGCTAGGAGAAAGTATCAGAGAATTGGTAATTAGGAACAGTCTCTATAAGTATGTATATGTATATATTTTTTAATTTTATTATTTTTTAATCTTCACCCAAGGATATGTTTATTGATTTTAGAGATGAAGGGACAGAAAGAGAAAGAGAGAAAGAAACATCAATGTGAGAAAGAAACATCGACTGGCCACCTCCCGCATGTGGCCCAACCAAGGACCAAACCCTCAACCTAAGTATGTCCCCTGACCAGGAATCGAACCCACAATCTTTTGGTGTATAGGATGCCACTCCAACCAATGGAGCCACTGGCCAGGCCTAAGTATATTTTTTTAATGTAACAAAGGAAATGATTATTTTTTTAAGTCCATTACAGGGCACCAACTTTGGACTACCTGAAGTACTTACTAGTTATAAAATTAATCCAAGTCGAATTAAAAATACTACCTTCTCCCCTCAAGATAAGAACTGAAACTCAGAAACTTTACTAAACTTTAAAAAAGAAAAGTAGCAAATAAAAGAGCTAAGCAGAGGTAAGAGCCTGAGTCACTATGGCCTGCGCTAATGTTTTGAGTCAAAGTACAAACACCATAAATTGACATTTAACCTACTGTTGCTGCTGAGTACAGCAACACCAATCCATGCAATGCTCAAGGATAAAGGTTTTTTTAAAAAATCAAAGTTAATTTTTGTTCTCCATACATCTCATTTCAGGAGTTAAAGTTTAGCCACCTGCTCTCCACCTATTAACTTCCCATACAATGCAATCCAAAATTAACCATGTACAGATTTTTAAAATATCATCACCCATTTCAAAAACCTGAACCTTTGGTTACTTGAAATGGGAAGAAAAAGAAAAAAAACATGGAATTAAGACTGTATTTTTAGCTCAAAGATAAGGTCAAAGATATTAAGTCAGTTTCGAAACAACTACTGACCACCGCCCACTAAATCTGGTATGGTGTCAGAATCAGACGACCAGTGGAACACACAAAGTAGCTCTGAGAAATCATATGCCAGCTTTTGTTCTCATTTTCTTTCCTTCTGGCAATTTAATGTTTAGTGTAATAAATGTAAATTTCCACCAAAGTGAAATGTTTGATAATGACTTCACAGACAAAAGGGTAAAAACTTACCTTCCCAATCCCGCAACACAATGCACTGCAACACAGCAACCTGGCTCTTCACGAAATTTGGTTTTTAATAGGTTTAGCCAATCGTCCACTATCTGATTAGGGGGTGGCGCACCATCATCAAATGGCCAATCCTGGAAAGAAAAAAATATTTTACATTAAACTGGTATTTCCTCCACAATTAACATCCTGATACAGAATAGCTCTGTAGTACACAGGGCAGGCCTAATTGAACTAATTATACCATATATACCTATTCTTAATAACATAATTCCGATCACTGCTAAAAGTGATCCAAGACTGAAATTTAAGAGCACCAAATACAGCACCAGCTACACTTCATAGAGGAGTGCCTTCCTCAATGAAGTGTAGCTGATGTCTAATTTTACCTTATGGAAATCTCCTATCAAAGTGATAAGAAATCAGTGTTCCTCAAATATTTTATCTGAATAGATCAGTAAACAGGCATAGGGAAAACTGTATTTATAGCCAAGACAAAGGAAGAGAAGATATAACACTTGTCAATATGATTTAAAAGTTCTCTCTGGCAAAGAAGTATGCCAACTGGTATCTTATTGATCTCTAACAATATTTGTGAGGATTATCCCCCAAACAGTTCTAAGATATGATATCTTTTTAGAGAAAGGCTCTCTGGTAAGAAATCTTCAATAGTTAGCATATCATAACAGAAAAATACTACCACCTTTGTGCTTATATTTTTTAAAAAAGCCAAGTATCTCCTGGCTGGCGTAGCTCAGTGGATTGAGCGTGGGCTGGGAACCAAAGTGTCCCAGGTTCGATTCCCAGCCAGGGTACATTCCTGGGTTGCAGGCCATAACCCCCAGCAACCGCACATTGATGTTTCTCTCTCTCCCTCTCTCTCTCCCCCCCCCCATCCCTTCCCTCCCTAAAAATAAATAAATAAATAAATAAATAAATAAATAAATAAATGCCAAGTAGCAAATATTTTTAAAGCTCTGTCAAAATTACACATATCCCATTTAACAAGCACAGCGCCACATAATAGAGCCCCCTAAGCAAATGGAGGCCTATTTCTCAAATACCCCTTTCTCTTTTTACATTCATCAAATTGGGCTTCTTTTAAATTTTAAATTAAGACAAACCCATGTGCATTCACAACACAGGCAGGTGTTTATCTTCCTTGCTACCTTGCAAGAGGTCCTAAAAAAACAATACAAATTAGCTTTGAAGAAAGGGGAAAGAGAACTTATATTTTACATACCTTATTTTCCATCTAGTTTTCAAGGACAAAAATGTAAAAACACTGGGCATTTTTTTTTAAACAAGACTATTCTGATGAGATTGGATAAGGACACTTTAAAATACTAGTGGGGGGAAAAGAGAAAAGTGGCAGGGCACTAAATTGATTCTGCACTCATTACAGGCACCACTAGAATACTGCACGTAGCCTATTAGCCATGACAGTACATTATGTTTGATTTGTCAACTACACCCCATAATTAAAGGGCTGTCAGTGTTATCATTATAAATGTCACTGTAGTTTAACTGTAAATAGCAGTAAAATGAGTTAAGTACTTTAGTTGAGAGCTTACTTCCTCTACTACTCCCTAAAATGCACCTAGTTAAGAAACAATAATATGAAACATGCTTCACTTACTCATATAAACAGTTTCTATCAAAAAATCATTAAAGTAACAATTTTGAAGCATCTGAACTTCAAACTGACATAGCTGAAACCGCCATTAGTCTTTTTCAATGTGTCTCTGATTTGTAAAAGCACTGGTCAGAGGACTGAAAGATCTAATTCTGGGGACATTCTCTCACAAAGTGTCCCAAATCCTCTTCACCTAGCAAAAGTAAACTAACAATTCATCTTAAAGTCTGTCTGGGAAAAGGAAAGAAATTCCAATCTTAATTTTAAATGTCCTTGTTTTCAAGCTTAAGTTAGCCCTTTAATTTTATCTGATTATAGCTATATAAAACAAAACAAAAGCCTGCATTTTAAGGTCTGGAATAAATCCCAGACCTACCAGCATCTTCTACAAACTAGTTCTTTAGTTCATTTCTATTTTACAAAGTGTTTAACAGTATTACTGATTCACATAGACTATAGTCAATCTGCAGTTCATTTTCCCATCCTGCCATCTGTCCAAACAAACTCTTTCCCATCTATCCACTGGAGAACATACAGCAGGGGATATGTTCCACAGGGGATATGTTCAACGATGCCCAGTGGGTGCCTGAAACTGCAGAACCCTATGTATACTGTTTTTTCCTATACATACAAACCTGTTAAAATTTCGTTTATAAATGAGGCACAGAGATTAACAACAATAACCAATAATAAAATAGAACTATTATAATGTAATAAAAGTTACATAAATGTGATCTCTATCTCCAGTAATTTTTATATTTTTCACTCCTGAATCTGTGTAACCATCTCTTACTTGTTTGTTGTCACTTGTTTCAGGAGATCCTTTGCTGAAGTGATCACACAGGCTTAACAGTTTCTGGTGTGACTTTTGCTGTCAAATGAAATGCATCTTCTGTTCATGTCTTCCCCCCACAAATGTAATGCCTTTTCCATCTGAACTATGCACTTATCGTGAACTATGCAGTTATCGTGGCGGTAACTTTTGTGGTCTGAGGTGCGAGAGCAAAACCAGCACAACTTTCTTTTTCCTTCTCCACAATTTCACAGACAGAAGACTCATTCCTACCGTGATCTTAGCAACCTCAGCACATTTTTTTCTTTCCTTATTAAATCGAGAACTTTCACCTTTTCATGTAAAAGGAAGCATTTTACAGCGTATCTGAATCGCCAGCATCACTACTCTTGCATTTCAGGGCCATTATTAAGTAAATAAGGACGACTTGAATACGAGCACTGCGATCCCGTGACTGTCAGTCGGACAACTGTCAGTCTGACAACAGAGGCGGTGGCGGCTGCTCAGTGACTAATGGGCGGGGAGCTTCCAGCGCGGATGCACTGGAAGAAGGGGCGATTCACATCCTGGGCGGGACAAGGCAATATTTCATCACACAACTCAGAACGGCACACAATTTAAAATTTATGAATTGTTTATTTCTGGAATTCTTCTATTTAATAATTTAAGACCATGGTTGACCCCTGCAAGGTAACTGAAACTGCGGAAGGCAAAACTGCAGATAAGGGGGGACCACTGTATTCAGCCTAGTTTCAGAAGTTAACATTTTGTTTTGTTTTTTTAAACACAGGGCTATACCAGAAGTTAATTTAAAAAAAAAACCACAGGGCTATATTTTACACATGTTTACACTTATCCCCAATGATTTCCAGCCAGGAGAACGTAAAGTCATTTAGAAATGAGAATGCGAGCAAATTGCTACCATACTATTCAAATATATTTGAGGACACAGAATGTTTTGAAAACATAATGCTTGGCTACTTAGTTTTTCTGTTTTCACCAAAATGAAGGTGAGGAAACTCTATGAATCACATAGGAGATGACTGCCTTGCTGACATGTTGAACATTTATTTTCCTTTCATGAACAGCCCTCACAACTACTGGCCAATGCAATAAAGACTACAGAACTACCTTTCAATAAAAAGTAGGAATTTTTCACTGTACAATTATCTTCTTTATTATTTTCTTCCTCACCAACCACTTTAAAAAATCCCCAGGTCTCAACCTACTTAACTGCCTTCCCACAATCAAATCAAATAGTTCTAAAACACTGAAGACTACAGTCATTTCATTACATGCTCCCGCAATTTAGACAACTATTTAGGGAAGAAGGTATAAAATTTTACCCAATCTAAGGCTCCTATTTTCTATAATAAAATAGCATACACAGAGGCTAGGGAGGATTTTAATTTAAAACAATTCCACTTTTTCTTCAAACTGAACTATGAAAGAAATCAAATCACACAAAAGTTTCTTAGAAACCTAGAAAAGTATCAGAAACTATGCTGATAACTCTGGAGCAAGATGCCTTCTCCCCTCCCTTAGCTTCTTCTACCACCTTTTTGTGCCCTACAACAGGGGTAACCAACCCATGGGCCATGGCCCAGGATGGCTATAAATGCAGTCCAACACAAAATCATAAATTTACTTAAAACATTATGAGATACTTTTGTTTTCATTAGTGTTTGTATATTTAATGTGTGGCCCAAGACAACTTTTCTTCTTCTAGTGTGGCCCAGAGATGCCAAACTATTAAGTAACTAATTTGTACTTGCAAAGTGAGGAAGAATATTTCCATGTGACTTAAGAATGTCTGATGAAAATTACTTTCAGTTAGATTCAAACCAGTAGCCTAGAAACAAAAGCCAACTGTTGCATTAATTTCCTAGAATAAACAAAATGCAAATTTCCATTTTCTTAAAATAAGTATTCCCTAAATTTTACTTTTTATGTATTAAAAACACCCTCCCGGCAAGTGTAGACTTTAACAACACAAATGAACAAAACTGCCAACTACCAAAAATTTAAAGGTTGCTATGAACATTGTATTCTCCTAATACAAGCTCAAAAAGCAAAACTACTGAGTGCCAAGTTTTATACATATCTATGTCTGAAAGGTACAACTTATTTGTAGTGAAAAATTAAAACACTACACACTCACTAGAACGTGGATTCCTTCTTTTTCAACTGGAGCTTTATCATATGTAGCATCACAAACTCGAACCAAAGTTGTCACTCCATACTTCTTAAGTTCCTTTAAAGGAATATAATGTAAGAGAATTTGCTTTTAGAATCTGCAAGCAAAGCTTTAAAAATATTCTATGATTTATACAAACTGAAACAACAAAACATCATTTTTCAACAAAAATCAAAATCACTCTCAAGATGGCAACATACATTATGCAATAGATACCCTCGCACTCTTTGTAGAAGCAACAATAAGACTTCACCTTTATAAAGAGCAATTTAGTAGCATAACACAAATCTTTTAAAGAACACATATACTTGACCAAGCAATTCCACTTCTGGGATTTGTTACTAACAAAATAATTAGAGATATGCACAAAGATTTGGATGCCAGCATGTTTAGCACGGCTTGGAATGGTAAAAACCTGGAAACAGTATTAATGATGCAAAACATGGGAATGATTAAAAAAGTATGGGCCATCCATACAAAATACTATGACATCTATAAAAATAATACTAAGGAGAGTGGGGGAAGACTTTTTTTGAATATATAGTGTGTTCCTATCTATATGTATACTTATAAATATATCCATACATGCAGAGAAAAAAATATCTAAAAGCTAAGTATTAACAGTTAAGTATTTTTAAAGTATCTTTTGCTTATCTATAGCTTTTTTATGAAGTAAATACTTAATGCTTTTTATTAAAGAAACAAAAGTTACTTTGAAATTAAGATTTAAAAGCAGTTTCATATTACAAAGCCAATTAACACACAAATTATAGCCAGAAGCCTTGTTCCTTTAAAAACTTTCCCACAGTAATGCCTAACCTAATCCAGGGGCTACCTATCTTCAAGGGACCACCAGTATCTTTTTTATAGCTGCAGGAGGACAATAACTTCTGCCACTTTTGGATTCTATGGCCGAGGAATTGTGTGAAACTAAAAATAGTATCACATAACGAAGCCAGGGTGACTGGACAACCTAAGGGCACACAAGCCCAGAGCCAACTCATACACTGTGCACACCACGTTTAGAAGCTCGAGGACTTATTAAGTATAAACAAGCAGGAACAGTGACATCCTACAAAAAACATCCGCCATTTGGTTATCTCAAAAGTAAAGTTATTTTAATTGCTAAAGTTTATAAGTTAAAATTAAGACAGAAAGGTCTTCTTATAAAATACATTCAGGAAAGTTGTTAAGTATTATAATGAGTCAGGAATTTTAAGAAGTTTCAAAATACAAATAAAATCCCACTGAAATGAACTTCATAGTAGCCGTTTATTGAAAGGTTATGGTAGAATTTTTATGGTGAATATTTGTGGCCTTAAGCAAGTCAAAACCTCTTTTGAACTCAGTTTTGCCAGCTGAAAAATGAGAGGGATGGATTTAGAATCCCTAGGGGTTCAACCAGTTAAGTCTACTCTGTATCAGTAGAGATCTACATCAATAGAGATCACATTCAGACTGAATAACCAGGGACTGATAAAAAGCTTACATTCAAATGTTTGTTGAATAAAGTACAAAACGTTCCTCTACTACTACTACCAATAGGAAAAATGAAGGATCTGACAAAAATGCTATGATACTCTTCCATCCCCTGAATTTCTGAACCCTTGTGATGGCTACTATTGTAGTTCCGGGGTAGCTTTTCATCAAAGGTGGTTAGGATACTTGAGGTAGACATGGGCGTTAGTGTCAGAGACAGTTCTACCACATACTGTGTACTTTCACTGAATTACTGAAACACTCTGAATTTCAGTTTCTTCATCTACAGAGGGAGATAATAATGGTACCTGCATCTCACAGGGTTATTGTGAGGAGTAAATGATATGCTGCCTAAAATTGCTGATTGTAATGCTGGGTACAAAGTGTTCAATAAATGGTAATTATTTTTATTATTGAAAGTATGATAAAAGAACTGCTTCTAATGTAGGAAGAAGAAAAAACATAGTAACAGATCATCTCTAAGGTCTTCCCAAATTCCATAAATGTTCCTTTAAAAATGTTATAATTAATCCAATCCATTTCAAAAGATTGGTAGAATGACCCCCCATCAATCACAGAAATAAATGGCTTTGTGATAGGAGACTTCTTTATAATGATGTTAATTTTTAATAGGGCTTTATCTATTAAGAATTTACCAATCCAGAAAGTACACCATGCTACGGTCTTACCTCTGTGAACTTGTTGAGGGTAGCATTGGTAGGGTTGTGAGTTATCAGAAAACGCATGTTCTCATAGGAGATCTCCACAGGGGCTGGACGGTTCATTATGGCAAATAAAAAGTGTGAGCGTGCGTGTGTGAGTGTGATGGGGGAAATGAAAAAAATCAATAAATCTTGAAATGTTTCACAGCAGAAAACATTAAAAAGACCACTAAAATGCCTATTATCAATCAGTGTTTTTTCTATTCAACTTGTTTGTTGTTTGAGAAGCTTCTCTCTTCAAGATAAGCAAAAGTATTTAGAATCCACTTGAATCCAAATTCAACTTCGGCCTCAATGTCTGCAGATGGATACCTTCGGACTCCAAAAAAATCCAACTACATACAAAACTTAAGTAGCCTTTACTACATTTAGGCACTAGTGAGACAAGTTAAAAGTGTAGGTCACTTCCCACTTTTGTTTACTTGATGCTTAATTTTACTGGAGTCATTAAAAGAAATATGCTTGCAATTAAAAAAAGCCAACTATTTCTGAGGCCAGTCTTGGTGTCCAGAGTCTTCAAGGCAATGTTAATTATGGCACATAGAACCCCCAAGCTCACTTGTCAGCAAAAACGCTGTGCTGAGCCTGGCAGAAGTCTGCCCTCACACTCAGAATCGCCATAAATGTGCAACGTATATTCCAACAAAAAACCTGGAAGAGAAAAACATAAACAAAATGAACTGGAGGTTGACAGCATCATAAACACAATGCTCAAAGTCAAGGACACATTCTTTATGAGCCCAAAGACATCTGAAATGTCACCATTCTAAATGATTGGCATCTATCAAGAATAGGGTAGAAGTGTATAGCAGAAGTTTTAAAAGCCTGAGATACAAAAGTTAAATATGTCTTTCTTTTTCAAACCAGGATCCAATAATCAAAGTTTCTGTGCTAACAAGATTATATTTAACTCAAGTCATTTTTAACTGATAAATGATCCTTAAAGAAATCTCTTCGTGGACTCTTCATAAAGTTTATAATAATCCTTTTCTGCTTTGATGGTTAAGCCTTTTACATATACTCTTTGCTTAAAGTAAGATTTATCTATAAATGGATGGACAATATTTACCAAAATTCTACTTAGAGGATTTAATTCTTTTTTTTTAAGAATTTTATTTATTTATTTTTAGAGAGAGAGAAGGAAAGGAGAGAGGGAGAGAAACATCAATGTGTTTGCCTCTTGCATCCCCCCTACTGGGGACCTGGATGGCAACCCAGGTATGTGCCCTGGCTGGGAATCGAACCAGCAACCTTTTGGTTTCACCGGCCAGCACTCAATCCATTGAGCCACACCAGCCAGGGATAGAGATTTAATTCTTTCTATCCGAAGTATATGCATTGGCCCCCAATTAGGATACTAGCCCATAAAGCACTTCTTTCAAAAAACTGCCTTTTCCTCGCAACTCTGAGTAGTTGTTACTACCTATGAGGAATGAGGAAAGAGGATCAGAAAAGTGAAGTGACTTGTCTAAGGTGAATGAACTAATTGAGTCCAAATTCTAACCCAAGTCTTCTGCTAGTTCCATATTTTTTCCAATGTACCACGTCAGCTGACTCAACCAATGTAGGAATCCCATCCTCTCATCTTCTAGTCCAGTTTACCTTTTCTACTACTTCTCACATCAGCAGCTCAGAAGTACAAAAGCATTTAAAGGTCAATGACTCATACAGCACTCTCCTGCCCAAATATTAATCCCTACCAAAACAAGGCAAGAAAGAGAAGTGGTAAAATTTTAACATCTTAAGCCTGCTTTGAAACACAGTAATCTTGATAGCTGGCTCAGTCAGACTGTCAACATAACCATGATTTCCTCTGGAAACAGGGACAAAGTCAAGTTCTTTCACTTGCCTCTTTCTTAAGCTTCCAATGAATGCTTATTTAGAAGTCCCTAAAAAAGGTAATTGTGATCGAACAGAAAAAGACATGAAAGATAATGACTATATAATAGTTTGCAGAAAAAAGTGAAATATAGATTAAAAAGAACCTGGGCTTACAAACTTTTAAGCCTACTCATCTATCCTCAAGTCTTCTTTTTACAGATATTCTTATGGCATTTTATTTTGTAAGTTACATACTTGTGACATTATCACCATGGACACAAACACAAAACTAAACACATTCCTAGAATATGAAAGATAAAAATTAAAAATGGCATTCTAAGAACTTCAGTACCTCAGCAAAATGAGTTACCCACTACAGTAAAAATGAAAACTTCTATACTCAACTAAGAAAAATAAAAATACACACACCATCACTCTTCCTACCTCATAACTCTAACTGTACCTCCAAAACACAGCCACCTTCGATTGCACATTTCACAGAGTACTCCGTGAATAATCAAGGAATTGTAGAGCTAGAAAAAACTTACAAATCAAACTACTCTGACCTTTAAAAAGAAAAAAGATGATGTTTGGGATCCAGAAAGGTTAAAATGACTTAACTAAGACCACACTACTACTTAGTAGCAAATCAAGCACAAGAGCCCAGGTCTCCTAACTCCCTATTGATTTCTCCTTCAATTTTCACTAGTGGAGGTATCCACATACTTAAGTCATAATCTTTTTCATGTAAGTGTAACTTTTCAAATATTTACTTGGATATTCATCTGCAACTCTGTGACCTTATAATAAGGGGAGAAAAGATAAATAAGGTAACTACTCAAAGAACAATGGTTTGCATACAGTGCAGAGCAAAACACAAGGAAATTCTAGCCTGCTTGAATCCCTTTGGTTTAATGATGTTATCGCAGATAATTTTTGTGTCAGCTGAGTAAAGGTACTGAAAGACCTACATTGTAGTGACGGCCAGGTTTTAAAAGTTACAGTTCTAGCATTAAGTTTTCTACCTAGTCTCCAGTGTTTGCCTGCTCAGCAAACAGAGCAATCTTTAGCCCATCTTATTCTTCCAAATCATTTTGGAAGGACCACTTCCAGGGATAAGGACAATTCATTATTAACTTTTCGATTCTTTTTTTTAATCCTCACCCAAGGATATGTTTATTGGGGGGGTGTGTGTGTGTGTGTGTGTGAGAGAGAGAGAGAGAGAGAGAGAGAGAGAGAGAGAGAAACATCGATGTGAGATACTAAATTGGTTGCCTCCTGTAAATGCCCCCAAGGGGGTCACAAGGGATAGAACCTGAAACCTTTTGGTACAGGGGACAATGCTCCAACCAACTGAGCCACTCGGCCAGGGCTTCAATTTTCAATTTGAAACACCATATTGAGATCCCCAGCAAAAGAATTTCTTCCAAATGAAACAGTATGTTCTATCAATGTTAACAGATCCATGATAAAAGCAAGCTTCTGCTCCTTCCCCCTCCCCCAAGGGTTCAACTACACATCAACAGTTAAATGTTCTTGCACCTGTCAATTCAGATAACTAATGTTCATTCCTGTGAAACCCATAAGAATGCAAAGCAAACCGTCTGTAAAAGAATCATAAACAACGTATCACAGCTGGAAAGTACAAGAGTTACAAAGCCCTATATTTTAGCATAAACTCAGCACCTGTACCCCTTACAGAAAAACCTTCTTCTAAAGTTCTCTCTCTAGCATTAGTTCTGCTTTATCTATTTAAGTAAAAATTGATTCTTGCCTTAATTTACCAGGTGTTGGAAGAGGCTTTTTGGTATGTTTTATTTACCTGACATGTAATAGCTACCAGATTCAAAGATCCATCCAAATATTCACTCCACCCTTAACTATTTTCTTTTTAATCCTCACTCAAGGACATGCTTACTGATTTCAGAGAAAGAAGAAGGTGGGGGGAGAGAGAGAAACATCAATCAGTTGCCTCTTGTACTTGTCTGGACTGGGGACTAAACCCACCACAACCTAGCCACGTGCCCTGATGGGGAATCAAATTGCAACCTTTTTTGTTTTACAGGATGACTCTCCAACCAACTGAGCCACACTGGCAGGGCTACCCTTTACTTTTATCTTTATGGAACCTAACTTTTAAGTGTTGAATTTAGCCCTGGCTGGTGTGGCTCAGTGGACTGAGTACTGGCCTGCAAACCAGAAGGTCACCAGTTTGATCCCCAGTCAGGGCACATGCTTGGGCTGTGGGCCAAGTCCCCAGTTGGGGGGCATGTGAGAGGCAACCAATCAATGTATCTCTCACACATTGATGTTTCTCTCCCTTTCTTTCTCCCTCCCTTCCCCTCTCTCTAAAAGTAAATAAATGAAATATTTAAGCCCTGGCTGGTGTGGCTCAGTGGACTGAGCCCACCTGTAAACCGAAAGATTGTCAGTGTGATTCCCAGTCAGGGGACATGCCTGGGTTACAGACTAAGGGGCAAACGAGAGGCAACCACACATTGATGTTGCTCTCCCTCTCTTGCTCCCTCCGTTTCCCTCTCTCTAAAAATAAATAAAACCTTCAAAAGCTTTTAAAAAATAAAATAAGATGTTGAATTTGGGACATTTTCAATTTTAACAAAAGAATGTAACTTCACTGGAGGATTAGACAGGATGGTCTATAACAGAAAAATCACTTTAAATTGAGGAAAAGGAAGAATGGAAGGGAAAAACGAATGAAGAAATGGGCTGAAAGAATGGCAAGTAAGCAGAGGCCTACCAAGCTAAGATAAGACAGAGTCAATAACACAACAGAATACTTAAAACTTTGAAGACTATGGTAGAGTTTAAATGTCTAGTGTCAATATTCTATGGCTAACATCAGTCTAGATGAGAATCAAAAACCAAAATGCATGAAATAACACAATATCCATCATTTAATCATGGCACATTCTTAAAATGGAAAACTATACAGAGGTTAAAAAGAATAAAACAGATTTATAAGAACTGTTATGTAAAGATGGCTAAGAGACACTAATAAGTGAAAGGAGCAAGGCATGTAACAGTATATACAGAAACACTTGTGAGTACCATAGAGCTTCCATACCCATAAACTATCCTGAAAATTAAGAAGTAACAGCAGTTTCCGGGGGGTTGCCTGGGAACTCAAGGCCAGGAGCATGATTTACTTTGCCTTCTGAACTGTCTTAATTTTTTTTTCATGTACATAATATGTTAGCTTAATTTCTGTTTAATTCTAGGGTGATACAGATTTACAATTTAATTACTTTCTTAATAGTGCTATAACCATGGGATAGCAAAGAGCCTCAAGAGGGCTAGCCCCTCTGTCCGGGAAGACAGTGTTCTTTGTTAAAGAGACTAAACTACTGAGTAAAAACTCAGGTACTACTTTGGCAGTTGTAAATCTAAGTCTAAATACAAATATAGGGGATTTAAAGGCTGAAGGAACTTACAAAATCAGTCCCATTTAGTGTAACCCAAACTTACTGGGCATCCTTTTTAAAATCCTGTCAATCTACTCACATCAAGCTTTCCACTGAGAAAACACCTCTTTCTATTTCCAAATTAAAGCAAATGATACAGTAAACCCTCCAATTTGATAGGTTATGACAGTATTCACCAAATTAAAACAGCATATTATACTATAAATGCAGAATAAAATATTCTAGATCTAAGAAAATAAAAATCTAAAAGCAAAGGTCTTACAAGTAAGCATATTTGCTGTTACTTTTCTTAACCAGAAATTCTACAGGAAGTCATGCAAATTTGAGTTAGCTTGGTTTCTACAAACAGGCAACATGAAAGCATAATACTGTATATAAGACTAAAATCTTATAATAATTTTTCCTAAAACAAATTTATTTCACTTCAATGAAGATACGTGCACTTCCCTTAAAGTATGAATGATCTGTCAACAGTTAAAAAACAATTATTCTCTGAAGTTAGTTTTGCCTTGCAATTTGGCTGGTTAAGAATTTACTAATTCAAACATTTACTAGACATATACTATGTATCACATACTCCTACAGTTGCAGCAACAGCAGTAAAAACAAAAAGAAAAACTCCTGTCAGGATGCATCTTATACTTTAGTAGGCAGAGAAAGACAAATAAAATATGCCACTGCTATGGAGGAAAATGCAAAGCAAGAGAATCTGCAGTGCCTCCAATTCTAAATAAGGCTATCAGGAAAGGCCTCACTGAAAAAAGTGACATTTTATCCAAGACCTGGAGGTGTGAGCCAAATAGATATTTGAGGGAGCATTCTAGGCAGAGGGATTAGCTGTTGCAAAGGTTATGAGGTGGGGCCAAGCTTGAAGTGTTCTAGGAACCTCAAGGGCGGCCTGTGCTACCAGTGCAGAGAAGGCAAGGGAATAAATAGGGTCAGAGAAATAAGTGAGTGCCTATAGGCCAATATCTGGCTTTTATTTTAAGAAAAATGAAATTTCAAGCAAAACTGACAATTTATGCTTAAAAGGCCCACTCTAGCTGCGATGTGGAGACATTATATGAGTAGTAACGGTGGAAGCGGACAGATCCTGTTGCTATAATCCAGGAAAGAAACAAGGATGGCTTGAACCAGGGTAACAGAAATACAGAACATAAGAAGGGATCAGTTTTAAAATATAATTTGAGGTGGAATCCAAAAAGATTTGTCCACAGCCTGGATATGGGATCTGAAAAAAAGAAATGTCGAGGCTCTCAATAACTCTAAGAACTTGTAAAAGCCTCACTTAACATTCAGGAACTATTCAGACAACAGAGCATAAAATCTTCACAGTTGGAAGCCCACCATACTTGCAACCAAGGGAGCCGCAAGCAGCAGCAGCTCTCCTGGGCTAACCCCCTGAACCTGTCTCCAAGGCCCTCTTTCTCTGACTTCCACGAGCCAAAGCAGCCCAGCCTAGGCTCTCCTGTTGCTTCTTCTATCTTAAGCCATTCATTGTTTCACTGTCCCCAGCTTTAATAAACATCCCATATGAGTGTGAAAAAAAATCTTCACCACCATCAAGGAAGTAGAGAAACTCCTCTGTGAAGCACTACTTTATCTACTGCGTTTTGACCGTTGTGGGGGAGCACCTTAAGATTAGTAAATGAAAGAGAACCCAACTTTGCTCATTAAACACTCAACTTCTGGTTAACTGGACTCAAACTGAAATTTTACTCATCTTTCATAACCTACTCCCAACTCATCAGAGCCCTACAGAAACAACAGCTCTACTCTCTGTGCTACTTATCTTTCTTTATCCTGCTACTGTTGCATTTATCAAACTAAAATTGAATACATCTGGATCCTTGAACATAGACAATTCTAATTAATATTAGTTCTCCTGCCCTACTGACAACAGTCCTTGGGAATTTATAGTAAAGAAAGAGGTATCCATTAAATTCTACACAAATTAGGACCCAAAACATCTGTAAACAAGCTAAAAATAGCAAGATGCTTCTTTACTGCTAAAAAAAAAGTTTCATAGTTACTCCCTTGGTTATTCCCACTTTTCTACTTCCTCATTTAAGGAGGGAACTTAAGAATCAAGTTCCAGAACAGAAATCAACAATAAGTTCTATAAAAAGAAATTATGACCTTGATGGTGGGAAAATATCTTTAACATTTCAGAACCAGCAGAAGATACATGGCCTGCCACAGGACAGGACAGGACAGGACAGGACAGGACAGGAAAGGAAAGGAAAGCAAAGCAATTAACCAACAACCACACCTGCTTCTGAGGACAGTGACAGTTATTTACTGAGGTCCTGTGGGCCCTGTTCCCACTCAAATGTGAAGGGAGTGGTTTTTGAGTCTGTATGTACCCTAGTGATTAGAAGTAGTTGTCTTTTTCTAGTAATTCCTATTTCTACGAATAAGTAAGACTAAAATTGCATTAAATATTTTCATGCCACACTTGAAAATATTTACTTTTCATTTTGTACTTCATTATTCTCTTAAAGATTAGCAATTCTCCAGCTAAATCCCTTGTCCAATTTTTCTAATTTGTCCTCTCATGGAGGTAACAACACTATAGCCAATTTCCACTTTTTCTAAAAAATTATTTGAATACCAGCAATAACATTAAAAACCCCAACAGCACAATTCTAATACTGGGCATTAATCTTATCATTTTCAGTAAATCTTCTAAAATTAAGGTAATTAACTCTGTTATTGGTTATATTCATTCATACTTTCATTTCCAGGCAAAGGTATCATAACTATCCTCTCCATAGACTTTAGTTTATGTGCATTTTAAGGCTCCCAAGACTTTTTAATATTAAGTTTAAGCACATTCTTTTTCTAAGTAACTGTGGATCTCCTCTATACAATAAGAACTATCTCAAACTCACCTGTGTTCCCATAAAATTAAATCCTAATGTTTGTTTTCTTCTTTCCTTTCATCTTACTTTCTGCAATCTCAAAAGGCTAAGTAATTGCCCCGGAGAACAATTTAAATCTTAATCATCTGCCTAGCTGCTGTGACTTAGTGGCTTGAGTGTCAGCCTGTGAACCAAAGGATCACTGGTTTGATTCCCAGTCAGGGCACATGCCTGGGTCAAGGCAACCACACACTGATGTTTCCCTCTCTTTCTCCCTCCTTTCCCCTTTTTCTAAAAATAAATAAAATCTTTTTAAAAATTAATCTTAATCACCTTAGTTTCCAACATCACTATACATACATTAACCCAAGAACCACTGAATCAATTATTTCTTTAATAAAGATATGTATTTGAGATTTAAAACTTCAATTGTAACAAAATAATTTCAGTAGGAAAAATCCAAAAGGACACCTGGATTTGCCCTGTCAACACTACTTTGAAATGTTTTCTGACCTACATCAGGACAGTTTGAATGACTGTAACAGCTGCAAGTTCCCTGAGGTTGCAAAATAGATACTTGGGAAAAGGTTATTTGAATCACCTTTCAAAATAACCTACAGCACAGGAGCAGCATGCAAAGCAAAAACTTCCAGGCTATTGTTAGCATTATTTAAAATATATGTTTCAGAGCTTAGCAGTTTATGGGTCAACTTAACTCTTTCATTTCCCTATTTTGTCAAATGTATTGGTCCTATCCAAGTATCTACCACCAAAAAGCAAGGAAAGGAAGCTTTCTATGTCATGATACAGAATAAAAACATTCCAAATAACATCTTGTCAGCACAAATTCTTTTGTTTGAGCCCCAGAAATTTTTCTGCTGTTAGGGCATTTTGGTCCAAGTTTCCCCTAAAACTGGGTAAATTACACTTCACTTCCTCTTCTAAGCTTGCTTTTCATAAATGTTATACTTCACAGCCATCTCTCTGCATACTTAGTACAAAACAAATAGACAACCCAAATCATTCTACTTGGAGCTGCTGCTGGCCTCCTAAAATATATCGTCTATCCAGTTTGTCTGATAATGGCTTGATGTTTATTTTCATAAAACACAACATTTACAATCTTTAAAAACCATACAGTTGTTTCATATTACAATACTCTACAATACCATGTCAAGGGGCTATTATTCTTTGCTCACTAGCTTGTTTAATTTCAACATGGATTCCCCTTCCTCCTCTTCACACTTAAAGAATGTTAAGTTTTCTAAAAATGCAAAATGTTCTTTTTTGTTCTCTTCTTCCAAATACTTACTGAGATGAGGGACAACATACCATGTCTGAATGATACTAAAATGCAACACATTCAGTCTTACAAGTATCTATGGAGTTCTATGAACACACCATAAAATATTATCCAGAATCAGGATCCTAAAATAATCAATGTGGGGAAAAATATTTGATGATGAAAGCCCTGGCCAGGTGGCTTGGTTGGTTGGAGCATCATCCCATACACCAAAAGTTGCAGGTTTAACCCCTGGTCAGATCACATACCTAGGTTGCAGGTTCGATCCCAGGTTGGGGCGCATACAGGAGGCAATCAATCAATGTTTCTCTCTCACATCAATGTTTTTCTCTCCCTTCCTCTCTCTCTAAAATCAATAAAACATATCCTCAGTTAAGAATTCAAAAATATATATTTGATGATGGGCATTAAAATTTCATATTAACACTACATACTCTGAAGATATAAAGCAAGCATGAGCAGAATGGAGTAGGATTAATTAAGACTTCTGAGGAGAGGTAAAACTTTTATGACTAGACTGGTAGAAACAGCAAAGGGCCATGGTAGCATGACTTGGGAGAGGACCTGAGTCTCTGGTTAGATATTGCTGGTGAGGCCTTAACCATGCTCAGAATTTCAGACCAATTCAAATGCAATAAAAGCTCTTAGGAATTTAAAGGTAGAATAGTAGTCCGGAAGCAATTCTTTGCTCCCTGTGAGAAAACAAATACAGCTGACCTTGAACAACATGGAAGTCAGGGGCACCAAACTCCCCCATTCCCTGCCTCCCCCCCACCACACACACACACACACACACACACACACAGCTGAAAACCAGTGTGTAACTTCCGGCTCCCCAAATACTTAAGTCGTCCCTCAGTATCCAAGGGGAATTAGTTCCAGTAGCTAATCCCCCCCATCCCCCGCCACAGATACCAAAATTCTCAGATGGTCAAGTCCCCTATATAACACGGTATAAATCAATGCATACATTGACCCCCTGCATCTGCGACTCCCAACCATGGATCAAAAACAGTGGAGACATTTATTTTTCAAAGTCCACATGAAAGTGGGTCCATGTAGATCAAACCCATGTCGTTCAAGGGTCAACTGTATTACCATGTTGGTAGGGATTCCTTATCTACTGAGCAACTCCGTAATTACAACAAGCTTCACAAAAATAGTCTCTCAATTTACTAAATCCTACCTGATAAATTATTTTTCCTAGTAAACAGGCGAGTTTAACTAAATTCTACTTGTTGATGACCTCCACATGAAGATCTCATCTCACTAGAAAAACAATTCAGAGCATAGGCCGTGACTTAAAACTGGAAGTACTTTTTATCCAGAAAGATCTAAATTACCTGAATTTAAACCAATCACCAAAAGGAAACTTGTTTGTAACTACACATGTGGAAAGAAGAATAATGTCACTAGAATCTATTGTTTCTCCATCATATCCTTCCCAATTTGCTGACAAATCCTGCTGATGACTCATATCCTTCTGCACTAACCAGTCACTGTTCCCTCATGATACACTTTTCACCAATAATGAAATGTAGAAAAGACATCAATGTGTTTTGCTACTAAAAACAGTAAATATCAATGTATGTATATAAGTACAATTTACAAATACTGTAGTGGTACAATGTAATGAATATTTCCTGCAAAAAAAACACAAAAAAAACCTATGCTTTAATCTCTACAAAAACTAAAGGACCAGAAGAAAGCAAACCTGATTGTGAATTGAATTCTTGTCAAATGATACATTAGTATAGAGCCAACATTTCTGACCACTGCAGAAATAAAAATATAAAGTAATTTATCTGATCTGCTAAAGCAAATATATCATGTGTGCATTTTATGCCAAAAGAATTACCATTTTCTGAGAAGAATGAAATTTCAACCCAAAAATACTATGAAAGGAATTGAAAACACCAATTCTCTCAAGGTAAAGACTGTTCTAATAGTCAAAAATATTTTTTCAAAGCAGGCTCAACTAGCAAAAAAAGGGTCACAGAAAAACTTGATCTTAAAATTCTCTACAGTTTAAAATGGCAATGTTGTGCAATATAAATTTATATTCAAATGATGAAATTTAGTTCCAGGCCACTTAAAATAGAGTGAGTGCTGTATTACAGAACCTACGGGACAGAAATCCATTCAGACAAACAAAAACCATTTGTATTAAAGTCACAACAAAAATTTGGTATAATCTGTCAACTCCTTATAGTCATTTCTCTATGGAAGACGCTGTGCCCCATAAATCTATACTGACTGCACAGATAGTGCAGGGAAAACCATGCGAGACATGCAGGAGAAGAGTCATTTTCTCACCTGGGTCCTGGAAACTCCACAGGGTAACTGTGAAAGTAGACAACGCCTGTGGCGCTGTGAAGTTTCTTTTGTCTAGGTGTTAGAGTAGGGACAGTTTCTGGTACAGCCTAGAGCTCTACAACTCAAAGGAGCAACAGATTTACATACAATAGCCACTTGAACTCAACACCAAGCAATCTAAGAAGGCTTCAAATCCCAAAGGTAGCCAGGAAGTCAAAGGAACTAGAGAATGTGGTTCAGTCAATAAAACAAAGGATAACTGGAGAAAGCTAGTAGACACCTCTAATACATATACTAGTTCTGAAGGTGGAAATTAATAAGAGGCTCTTCTAACATTCCAGATTAACAGACTCAAATCACACTTCCCAAAGTCATTATAACTGGTGGCATCCACTGTTCATTTAACAAATCCAAGGTACAAAATGATCTGAACTGTAGCATTAAGGACTCTTTATTTTTTAAACTTGGAGAATCATCAGTTTCTTTATAACCCAACTAGTGTCTTGAGAAAAATCTCAAAGCAGCAACATCCGCAAAGAGTGTATGCAAGTACCTTAAGTATTCTTTTAAAGAGAAATTAAAATTCAAGCAAAAAAGGCCAACTTCCTTAGCATCTACTTAACTGCTACATAACTCCCTGTAAACTGACTAGAGTTAACTGAAAGACAAAAGCCTAACCAGAGATTTAACGACTTCAAACCCCAGGGGGAAATATTTTTTATCTGCTACCATTTATTTACTGATACTGTTTAAACTGGATTCCAAAACCTGGGATTCAACAATTATTTTACAAATCAATTTCCTTATCCCAAAAAGTGAAAGAATGCCACTTAAAGGATTATTATGAATTGTAAATGAGGTGATTTGTGATTCAGCACAAAGGACATGATCTCCAGAAGGAAATACTGAAACCTAAATGTTGGACTTCACAAGTAGTCTGAGACCTCAAGAACGCTACCACTACTCTTTCTCAATAAACATAACTAAGTCTACCATGACTTACCATGGTAAGTATATAAGTACTTACCATGTAAGTACTTACCATGGTAAGTACTTACCATGACTTACTTACCACTAAGTCTACCATGTTAAACTATGGGTCCTGACTTCCAGCTGCTCTAAGTTTTGTTAAATCCCCAACTTCTATGAGGAGTACAGCTAGTGAGATAACACTTAAAGAAATCAACCTAACTTAGGTTTCAGTCTTCCAAGAGCAAAAGCTAAAAATCTATGTACTGCTCCTCTGCATCTTATTTGTAAATGCTTTTTCTAGAGGCTGCACTGGTTGCCAATCCCACATTCCAACAACAAAAAAAGTACCATCAAACTCCGTAAAATAAATCTACTAAATTTCAATTTTGTGCCCCAAAATCATAGTGTACTACATACAAAACTGCTACCTTTGAAAGCGAAAATGAGTAAAAAGTTAAATCTTAAGACCCATAAATCTTGTCCTGGCCGGGTAGCTCAGGTGCTTAGAGCGTTGTCCCCATACACCAAGGGCACATACAAGAATCAACCAATGAATCAAACAACAAGCCTGACGTTTCTCTCTTTCTTCCTTCCTCTCTCTCTAAAAATCTGTAAGTTTTAAAAATAGAAACATAAATCTTTTTTACCTTGTACACACAAATGTATTTTCAAGTAAAATATAATAAGGGTTTTCGGGCTTTTTAAGAAAGTTATGTGCAAAAAGCATTCAAACATTTACTCTTCCCTAGTGCCACCAAAGTTCAGTGAGGTTGTAAATAGTTTCTGCCTATAAATTTGGTTCATTTAAATTAAATATTACTTGACTGACTCATGGAGGGAGCGGTTTGACTTTTGCTGTTCTGAGTCAGAATATGCAGGGTTCAGCAGTTCTAAACAAGTTCTCATGTCTATAGGTGTTCTAAAATGCTAGCCTTTTCCAGCTACTAAGTCTAACAACTAAACTGTTGTGTAGAAAACTCTTAATACTTTGAACCTGTATTTCAATTTATAATGAAGTGCTTTCATATATTTCTCAGTTGATGTTCACAATCTCCTGAGGAAAATATCCCACACAGCTGAACAGAAAGACTTTCACAAAGAAGTGACAACTTCTGGCTGACTCTTAGCCCCAATAAAGACACTCTTCCTCTTCCTCCAAAATAAAAGTCATAAAAGACTGCTGAGTTTCTTTAATCAGACTTCCCTCTCCCAGACATATCCCAGGTGCGTCATAAAAACTTTGTCTCAAAGCACACACCCTGGGGCCCCAAGAGAGTTTTAAGGCAGAATCTCCACCTCCGTAAAACCCTTGCTTAGGTCCCAAGTCAGCATCTCCTAATGATCCCCTTGCCTCCAGCCATTCAGTCTTCTGCTTCAACTTCATCGTCTCTCACCTGTATGAGCTGATAGGTCCCTGTGTGGTAAAATAGCCCAAAGTGAGACAACCTAATGTGAAGATAGTAATTATGTAGTGGAAAAACCAACAACTTTGGAATCAGATAGACCTAAGTTTTTAATCCATCTCCAATTCTTATTACTTGTGACCTGAGACAAGTCACTTAACTTCTTTGAGTCCTTCATCACTTTAAGTCAATGGGGGCTCATCACTGTATCCTTTAGTGCCTTGCAAAACAGAAAACCCTCAATATGTGCCAAATAAATACAAATAAGGATACTTACCACCCTTTAGTAGCTGTGAGAATTAAATGAGAGAGTATAAAAAGCTCCTGATACATAGTAAGCACTTAATACTAATTAATCCAGTTCCTCACTGAATAGCAACATTAGTTACGATTTTCAAAAACAGGGTATGCTAGTATTGAGAAAAAGAATGCGCTCAGAAAAATATAATTTCTGACACATCACTGCTTTTGCCTGTGATCCCATTATGTCTACTATCAAAAGAAACACCCTACTCTTTGCCTATCATATTGAAAAACTCTCAACTTCTAAGAAAAGTCCCATCATTAAGACATAAAATCCTTATCAAGGTACTTTTCACCAAGTACCCCCACTTCTCCTGGTGTGGCTCAGTGGCTGGCACACTGGCCTGTGAACCAAAAGGTCACCAGTTTAACTCCCCGTCAGGGCACAGGGACCTGTTACTAGCAGACCCCCAGTTGGGGGCATGCGAGAGGCCACCAACAGATGTTTCTCCTCCTTTCTCCCCCCTCTCTAAAAGATAACGAAATCTTAAAAAAAAAAAAAAAAAGAACCCCTACTCTACAACACAATAACCTGGGTAAAGTCCATCACAGTGATCAGTCCATCTACTATCCAATATGAAACAACTTTTAAAATGTCAAGATCAGAATACTGGCAAACAACTTCTCACCACCTTCACCACCACGATGGTATGCTGGCAAGTGGCCCTGAAGCCTTACTAAAGTGTCATTCTGTAACCCTAATTTCTTCTTGCACATTGAACAAAGCATAACTTCACTCACTTCCTGTCTGAAACTACTCCGTAATACAGAGCATGCCAGCAAATAACTACCTTACTCTAATCCAGCTGTGGCTGTCATTTGGTGACTCCACACAGACGAGCTACAATGACGCGAGAACTGCTAGACACTTTAATGTCTCTTGACAAATTCCAAAAAATAATAAACTAGCCTATGGTTCTCCTCCATCATCATTACATCGTATCATCATCATCATCATCATCATCATCATCAATATTATTGTTTAACAGCTTTTCTCCAGAAGATTAGGAAGAGTCACAACCTAAAAAATATGACTTCAGTTTACCTAAAAATAAAATACCTTTCACCTCACCTGAAAAGCTAACAGTACTTTACGAAAGAGTCCATGCTTCTGAACACTCCAAGGCAAGAGCGGAGGACCCTGAGCAACAGACAAGTTTTAGTTAGCTCTCACATCCCCAGACTAAAATGGGATGACAACCGTATCCTTGACAAGTTCAGAAATTTATGTCGATGGCATGGGGGGGAGCGGGGGGGGGGGGTTTACAAAAAAAAAAAAAATCCCAGAACCAAAAGAGGACAGTGCCACGAGATTATACTCCTACACTCTTTCCTCACACTTGAACCCAAGAGCCCCGGGACAAGACGCTCCTGGAAAGGACTCCCTAACCGAGGCCTCAGGAGTCACGATCACCAAACACCAAGACCAGGGAGAGCCTCCAGGATGTCAGTTCACACTCTGGACAGACGCAGGCACATCCTTCCACACTCCCTCCCCTGCCACTCACCTCCCCCCGCCACACCGCACTCCTATTCTCCCCGCACGCACTCACTCATTCCCACACCCCACGCGCTGCCCCCACGCTCACTCTCCTCCTCCAACTCATACTCCCCCCACACACACTCCCACTATCCCCCCCCCGTACACACTCTCCTGTACACCCACCCCACACTCCCACACACACTCCCCTCCATACTGTCCCCAACTACCCCCATCCACACTTTCTTCCTCTCCACTCCCCCTTCTCTCACCCCCACATACACACTCAGACCTCTCCCCCACTCACACTCTTTACCCCCCTCACGCACGCACCTTTTACCCACCCACACTCAATATTCTTACACACACTCAATCCCCCCCTTTTTCACCCACCCTCCTTCTCCACGCTTCCCGGCCACGCTCTCCCCTCCCCGGGTCCCGGCCCGGCCCTCCTTCCGGGGACGTGTCTCGGGCCTGTACTAATGGCTGCGGCGCCTCCCGCCCGCCCTCCCCTTCCCCGAGGCCCCGGGAGCCGGCGCGGGGGCCGCCCAAGAGCAGAGCACTTACGCTGTCGAGCTGGGGACTGGGCATTGACGTCCAGCGGCGGCGGGAGCGAGGAGGCGCCTCTCTCCTCAGTCACCTCGGCGGCGGCGGCGGCGGCGGTAGCGGTGGCGGCAGCGGCGACGACTCCCCCCCAGCCTCGGCGCGCGACACCCGGCCCGGCCCGGCGGCGGCGACGGCGCGTGTCCACGAGTCCGTCTTGCTGCTGCTGCGTCCGCCGCTGTGTCTCCTGCTGCCGCCGCTGCCGCCACTGCCCTGTGGCGTCGCCTAGCGCCGTGCCCGGCCGCCGCTGCCGCTCCAGCCGCTACCGGACGGACGACGGTTACAGACCCGCTGATCGCGCCTCCGCCACCACCGCTGCGCGCGCAGCCGGAACCAGCTCCCGCCGCCGCCCCTCAGGGGGCGCTACAGGGCGCGGCGCAAGCCCGTCGGCCCGCCCACCGCACGCGCTGACTGGCTGGCGGGCAGGCTCGCAGGGCAATTGGGCCGCCCACTGCCCCGCGGGGCGCTGACCCACTGCCCTCGGCACATCGCCCGGTTCTCCTCGCCCTTCGTTCCGCTCTACACTCCTGGCTGCGGAAGCGGGTCCATGTGACCGGGAGTGGGTAGAACAAGACCTAGCGAGTGGTTCGCCCACACTGCGGCCCGCCCATCCGCACCTGGCTTGGGGCGAGGGCCGGAGGCCGCCGGGTGAGGTGCAAGGTCAAAGGGCTTTTAACCCCCTCCGGCAACCCCTGCGGTGGGGCCTGGGACCAGATCTTGTTGGGACGGGGCGGTGACCGAGCCCTTTGCTTGGGGATTTCCAACTCGGAAGTGAGAAACCCAGTGCAGCTCAGTTCTTGGCTGCCCTTCCTTGAGGCCCCAAATAAATGGCGTGTGCGTCTGCAATTGCAAAGGATGGTACTGCGCCTGGCTTCACATCCCCGCCACCACACACACCTAGATCTATGAACCCTCTGTGACGGACCAAAATTCACACTTCCGGGATGTAGCATCTTAGGCAAGTTATTTCCTCTCTCTGACTATTCTCAAATATTAAAGTGGAAATAGTTACTAGCTACCTCATGGGGCTCTTTTCACATAATAAAACTATGGAAAAAATACCTGTTAAAGAGGCTACCCTGAATTTCAAGGTTTCCAACCTAATGTCCCCTTTAATTAGAGGGATTGATTATCCTCGAAAGTTTAAAGGCGCGCAGAGAAGGTTTTTTAATCCTCACTTGAGGACATGCTTCATGATTTTAGAGAGGGGGGAAGGAAGGGAGAGAGAGAGAAAAACATCATGTGAGAAACGGATTGGTTGAGTTTCCTAAGCGTTCCAACAGGACAGAACCTGCAACCTAGGCATGTGCCCTGACTGGGAATCAAACCCCAAATCCTTAGGGTCACGGAACAGCGCTTCAACCAACTGAGCCACACGAGCCAGGGCCAGAAAATCTTTAATTCTTTGTCAGACTATGGAAAATGTGGTCACCAGTGAGTTGGGAGACTGGTCTGGGCTACTGCCAGATGACAGCCAGAAAGAGGCACTGGTGGCTGGCTTGGGACAAAGACTGGAGGCATACCCATTAGCCTGGAGGGGAGGGGTTGCTTTGTCTTCCCTATCCACCCTGGAAAATCTATATAGAAGGGATTACTGTTCCTTGGACTGCCTCTCCCCGGACCCACTCACCACCGTATACCTATTCATCTGGCCCTGAAGCGGGGAACACTGGCCAGGAGTCATCATGAGGCCTTCCATATGAGGTAGGGGCATTGCTCCTGAACAGAAGGCTGCCATTAGAGCTTAGCAGTATAAAGAAAGGTCTTATGACGCAGCCACATCTAGCCACAGCACAGAACCCTGGATGTTCACCACCAGCAGGTGGCCCCGGAGAGGGTATTCCAGGGCAAGGCTGCTTGGCAGGGCTGTGTAGGAGTTGAGAGGCCTTGAAGCAAGAGGGACTAAAGATCAGATTCATCGCCCTTGGGTGAAAAACACAGGCTTAGCTGCACTTGTGCTCTGCCTGCCTCCAGCCGGCAGCATTTTCTACTTCCTCCAAGCAGAGACTTGAATCAGACAACTATCTCCTCTGCAAAACTTTTGCTGAGTCTCCTGGTTATTCATTCTTCCACTAAAGTCTCAAAACACCTTATACAATCCCCTATCATAGCATTTATCGCATTGTTTCACAAATGCCCGTTTTCATGATTCTCCCCTACTTAAACTGACCTACTTGGGGCAGTCTGGTAGACTGTTGAACAAATGACTGAATCTTCCCTCCACCTACCTCTCAGCCTGGCCCTAAATGTCAGTAATGATGTAATAACAACATAAGGGTAACAATAATGGTTACAATAATGGCTACCATTTATGAAGCATCCGCTCTATTCTATTCCAAGCTGTGGGCAAGGTGTTTTAAAATATATTATCAAGTTTATGCTTCAGAATAACCCTATGAGTAAGGTATTATTTATTCTCATTTTAAAAGGGATTGGAGACTCAGAGAAATGAAACCAGAGAAGCAGGATTCATTCAGCCCAGGTATCTGTCACTAAAGCCCAAAGAAGCATGATGTTAATCTCTGACTCCAGTCAATAACTGATGTCCCTCAGATTCACCTGGAATCCCTTCTGAGATGCTAAAATACCCACCTCTGAGAGCAAAATGCCTGACACCACGGCACCACCAATTCCCCACACCCTACAACAGCAAGGAAATGCTCTAACCCCTGGCATGAATGACCTCATCCAAACGGTTTCTCAAGGAAGACTGAATATCTCAAACAGATCAGGAACTGGGCTGCAGGCAGCTAATTACAGCATGAACACCCTTGGTAGTGAATTTTACACATAATAGTGGCCCTGAGTTTATTCACCTCCTTTGTTGAAGCATTCCAAGTGCCATTAGCTTATTAATCCTCCCAGTGCCTGTGTAAAGCAGAGCTGGCGGTATCCTTGACTGATTTTCTAGAGCAGAGCCTTAGCTTCTTGAGAACAGAAGCTGTGTGGGCCTGCCACAGACAGGGGTTAGAAAGAGAAGTAATGGCAGTGTGACAAAGAAACCAAAATCCTGGGAGAAGTGGTTTGAGACAGAAGTGGGGACACAACCCAGGTGCCTAGTTCATACCAAGGGACTCCAAGCTGTTATATCAGGCATCCTCACATTGTCATTTAGTTGCTGTGTAACTTTGGTAAGTAACTTTAACTAGTCTGAGTGTCCCCATCTGTAAAATGGAAAAGGTAACAGTACTCAGCTCATAAGGTAGTTCTGAGTATTACCGGAGTCAGTGTATGTAACTCAGGTAGCACCATACTGGATACAGAGGAAGTGTTCAATAAATACAAGCTATTAAGACAATTATTGGAATGGTACTCGGCACTGTGGGATGAATAAATGGAATGAGCTTTGCTACTACTGGTCCCATAGAGTTCATTTAAAAATTGCAGGCTCTGCTACTCACTACTAGTTTTGTGACCTTGGACAGGTGGCTTAACTTCATGAATGAACCTCTATCTTCATCTGTGAACTAGGATTGCTCTGAAATGAGTGTCTTCAAAGTGCTTTATAACTGTCAAGCACCATACAAACATTAACTGTGGTTTTGTACTATGACTGTACAGGAACCCCAGGTCTGTCCCTTAAATTCCTAACCTCTAAAGTTTCCTCATGTGTAATATGGGTGTAGTGATCACATCTATCTCAGGGGGATGTTGTGAAAAATTAAAACATTATAGACAATATATTTAAAGTACCTAGCACGGTGGGAGGTGGCCCATACTTGTTACTTCCCTACATCCTAGTAAGTGGTGTTTATCTACGTCCTAAAGCAAAGGAAGCCCTAGGGTGTAGTGGGAATTAATGGAATTAAGGGGTGGGGCGGGGGCTTAGTCCTGGCTCTCCACTGTGTGACCTTCAGCAAGTTACCTAACATCTCTCAGCTTTCAGATTCCTTTCGTCTAACTTCAGATAAGGTATGCTTGCATTGCAAAGTTTTAGGATGATAAGACTGACCTAGCACAGACTCTACCGCACTGTAGGGACTTGCTTAGTAAGCCAATAAGCAGAAGCCACTCTCATGGAAAGGACCCAGTTGGAAGCAAGGACCAAAATTCCCCAACCAGAAACCAAATGGGGCCATGAGCTGCAAAATAAGCGGTCCAGGCTTTACAAAGTTCAACTGAGCTTGGGAGGATCCTGCAAGGGTCCCACCCAGCACAGCTTAGCTTTTCTAGACCATGCGGCTGGACTGGTCAAGAGAAGGCCATAGGAAGACCCAACCTTCCGAAAGTGATAGTGGGAGAGGAGGGGTGTGGGGGGGGTGGTAAAGGAATGTACTGATTCACTGACCCACCCATCCCATGCCTCTAATCTCTCTTCGGGAATTTTACAGCCCTCCTTTACTGGGTTGGAGGCAGAGAGGGCAGGGCGCCGGTTACCGCGGGCTACAGGAACCACCCCCCCCCCCCCTTGCTAATCAGCTTCTGCGGGAAGCCCCTGGGAGTCTTGCACACACCCAGACAGTTTGCTCTTAGCTGCCTCCCTGCGTGGAGTTGGGGAGAGCCCAGCAGGGAGGGAGAGGAGCTGTGAATTCCGGGAGACTTCTTGTTCGCTCCGCGGGGTGGGGCCTAAGGCGGGGAGTTCCCTCTCCTCATGTGCTAGGAACTGGGAAGCTGCGGCTGAATCTCTGCTTGGGCTTGAGTGCACTTGGAAGCCCTCGACCTCTATGGAGATCCTTCCTGCGGCCAATCAGCTGTCAGGATCCCATCTCCACCTTGGTCAGGTGTAAGTGGATTTCACCCAGAAATCCAGAAAAGAAACGACCTCTGGAACTCGGAGTGAGGGAGAGGGAAAAGTTAAAAAACATGAATATAGATAGATAGATAGATAAGTATAGATAGATATAGATATAGATATAGATATAGATATAGATATAGATATAGATATAGATATAGATATAGATATAGATATAGATCCTGCTTAACTTCCTGTTTTATCTTAATAATGATGAGGCAACTGAGGCGGGAGAGGCAGGGATCTGCTCTGGGCGGTACTGAGAATCAAGCGGACTCCAGGCCAGTACTTTAACCTCTGGCGCTGCGTTGTCCTGCCTGGTGGGTTCAGTTCACAGCACTGTGTGATACTTCCAGACTCAGTTTCCCCTTTTGGAAGTTGGGAAATATCAAAAAATTTATTAACTGAAATGAGCTGCTGGAAGTGAAGCAGCAAATCTCCCTACACTACGAAGGGATTATTGAGCGTTTGTTTGCTATGTGCCAAGCACTGTTTTAAGTACTTTATGTGTATTAACTAAGATCATTTGACAACAATCCTGGGAGTTGGAAATTATTATTATCCTCACTTTACAAATGGGAAAACAGATGAATAACAGCAGAGCCAGCTAACGAATTTGACCAAGGCCACCTA